CAGACTGCAGATGCAGGTTGGGCCAGGGGCCATGCTGGGCTCTTCCAAGGAGGAGGAGGGGCCTCGGCCACGCTGCTCTTTGCTCAGGGCAAACGGTAGCAGTGCTGGGAGGGGGGCTATGGGAGGGTTTCAGCCACCCCAAATGTTGCTGTAGCCCCCCCATAGTCCCTTCCCAGTGTTGCTGCCACCTGCCCCAAGCCCAGTGTGGCCTGGCCTGGCCCAGCCCACCCCCCCACACACTAACTGGGAAGAGCCTGGTGAGGCCCCTGTCCGCAGCTGCAGCCTGCCCACACAGAACCGGGGGCACATGCCCCAGCCCTGGCCCCACTCCTTCCCTCACTACAGGGGGGGTGTTGATCTGCCCCTCCCCCCCCATGCTTCCTCCCTCCCCTTCCACCACAACAGATTTACTAACTGAACACATCTGTATCGGAAATCAGATCATCAGCTGATATGCCTCCTTAAAAATAGGCTATCAGTATTGGCCTCCGTAATTTCTATTGGTGCACCCCTACAAAGAACTGATGCAGTTTATTCACTAGCTTCAATATTGCCATTCGTTCCTTTGGGAGATATTTTTAAGGGAAACCTTTGACAGGAGCCTGATGCATGCTAGTTCCCTTGTTGTTAACATTAATGGAAGTTTGGGATGTTTAAGTCATCCCAGGAATGAAGCCACAATTGATTCTTATTGGTGAATGCCTGTGTTTTCTGTAAGCTTCCCCTCGCACATTTTTATTTTTTAAACAACTAGTTGCTAAATGTAATCAGTCATGACCAAAGTTGTTTTTGAAATTTGTTCAAACACTTTTATGTGCATGTGTGTTTTCAATTCTGTGGCCAGTGTTACTGGTTACCTTACCTAGCACTTGCTGGAGATCAGTAATAGTTGAGGAGTGGTTGGCTGAAATGAAGTTTCTGCGAAATGGACATGAGGTTAATAGGATGAGAGAGCTTCAGGAAATCCAAGGAACCTCTGGAAAGGATGGGTACCAGCCATATGTTTCCAAAGTTTGTGGATTGATGGATCCACAGCTGCTGCTCAATAAGCTTATAGCAAAAAAAATGAAAGATGACTTAAATGTGTCTGTCTAGAAAGGAGGATATATCCATTTCTTTCAAATTTAGCTCTTGCAAACATGTTTTATGCTTTTTCTTGTTGAGATTAACTGATGTGGCTTCAAATGGAATTACACCTTAAACCACTTCATTATGCAACATAGTTATTTGTGGAATTCATTTCCCCACAGAGTGATGGAGGCAGATTGCATAGCCAGGTTCAAAAAGGGACTGGATACATTCATGGATGAAAGATCTATTTATGTCTGTTCAAGAGAATGGTTGGAGATGTTTCATCTGGCATCTCTAACCCAATAAATGGCGAATGCCAGGGCAGCTATTGAATAGGGGATCTGTACAGGGAAGTACTTGATTCGGATTTGGCCAATCTGGAGGACAGTGATCCGATTCGGAGATTTGGATTACTCTCCTGAATCGATTCAGCCGAATCAGCTTTGGAAGGTTTGGAGAGATTCGGTGATTTGAATTGGCTGGGGAGAGGCAGGCACAGCCAGGTGGCTGCAGGTTCTCCTGCAGCTCCTCCATCGGTCTCCCTCTCCCCAGGCAGGGGGAGCTGTGGGAGAAGCCCCCATGGCTGTCCTGTGTGGCCCCAGCCCCAGCCTAGTCCCAGCACTTTAAAAAAAAAAAAAA